TGCATTTCTTGCAACTCCTTCTCAAATGATTGATTTTGTTGTTGTTGTTGTTGTTTCGCTTTCATCCCTGCTTTCTTAGTTTTCTTGGCGGATTGAGACTGTGAGAGGCTCTCATGGTTTTCTTTTCCAGCAGAGTCCTCCAATGGCGGCGCAATTGGAGTCGGAGAGGGTTGAGAGCTCACTAAGGCCAAAATGTTGGCCTCATTTGATGATGGTTCTGCTGCAATGGTTGCTATGAGAGAGAGAGAGAGAGGGGTTTAGTTCTGAAAAAATGCACATGAAATGATAATTGTACAAAGTAAAAATTTGACTAATATAATACAAATAATTTGAGTAATATAATACAAATAAATATATATTCAAAAAATTGTACAAAGTAACGTAACAGCATTGTGGGCCTATTAATTGAAAATAAATAATTTACCAAAATTATTGTTAATGATTATAACGTTGCTACCGTATCATTCTGGTAAAAAAAAAAAATTCAACTCTGGTAAAAATTTGTATAAAATTAATGTAAAAAAAAAAAAAAAACTTTTTTTTTTCTTCATATAATTACCAAGATTCACAAATCTAAAAAAAAAATAAAAAGATTCACATATTACAAATCAAAGTTGAAAACCATTATAATCAACTAAAACTCATTAAATAATAATTAATATTCTAAAAACACACATAATTGGATACATACTATATGAACACACAATAATATAAAGTTTTTTTTTTTTTTTTTGGGGGTCTTTCAAGCACATGAAATACCATTTGAAGTGGTGACGGTGAACTGCTCAAAGGCTAACTTTCTTATCACCGCTGCCGCCGCCATCAACTTAACTCCAGCAAAATTCCGCTGCCACTCTTCGACACTTCTGGAATGGTTGAAAGCGGGCCTGACCCATCGAAAATAGCAAACAATGGGTCTTGCGATCCTGGTTTCACTTGTTTTGGGGCCAAAAATAGATCGAAGAAGTTTGTGAAACGACCGAGAAAATTTTGAGGATTTTTTGGAGATAGGTTGTGGTGGTTGTTGCGGCGGTGGAAGTGGTGGTGATCGGATAAGCGAGACATGGAGACGGTTCTAGAAGAAATGGTGGAGTAAAGTTGGCGTTCGAAAGATTTGAGCTCGAAAGAGTCGTAGAGTGAGTTTCCACAATCCCATACGGGAGAGTTATTGGGTTTGTGATTGTTTTGGGTTTCTGATTGAAAAACTTTCTGATCCATTATTTGTTTGCTTCTTTGGAAAAAAGAGAGAGATGTAGAGATGGTTATATATCCTTAGAGAGAGAGAGAGAGAAGTTTCTTCGCTTTATCTGAAAGGTAAGTAGGTTCAAAAGCGTTAATTATGACTAAAAGCGAGATTTTATTGCCGTCGTTATCAAATACAAAATATAATATGACTTTTTATTTATTTTTATAATTGAACCTAATTTGTAAATTTTATAAAAATTTATTTATTTATATGTATGCTTTGTTAAATGAAAAAGGGGTGAAGTGATTAAAAAAAAAGAATGTTTAATTTTTTAGTCTATTTATAAGAGGAGATCATATGTTATCTCAAGTCATGATTTCATTGCTTTGGGTTACTGGTCATAAACTTATTTGATATATGGTTTTTTAGCTAAAAAAAAGTGACTTATTTTAGTTTACATTTTTTGGCTAAATTTATAAACTGAGACCACTGATTTATAAATAAAAAATTTACCAAACAAGTTTTTATTTGAATTTTTAAAATTTTTGTAAATATAAACAGAAAACTAAAAACGTAAATGTTACCAAACGACACCTATACTTTAGAACATCCCTATCAATATAGGATAAGCCAAAGTTCAAAACCACTACTCATTAAATAATAATTAACTATATTATAAAATGCACACATAATTACAAACACACTATTCACACATAATATATTATATTATTCACAAGTCAAAGTTTTTAGGTCTCTCAAGCACATGAAATGAGTTCACCATCTATTAAAAAAAAAAGCACATGAAATGAGTTTACACATAATTTGACTAATATAATACAAATAACAGCAATACTAGGGATCTCGACAAATCAACGCTCGAATGCTTCGCATTTTTTTTTTTTTTTGTTGTTGTGAAAGGGTGATTATGTGTAGGGTGTGCTAAAAAATTAGACATCTCGCACTAACTCAGCCTGTGTGATTTAATAAAGTGAGTGAGTTGGGTTGGACTAGTTGATTAATAAAATTGACTGATCAGTTAGGCTGCTGGTTAAAATTTATTAATTTCATATAATTTTGTATGAGTCTCTATTATATTTTTATTTTAAATCAGGAAGACTCAGAGGAAATTAAAATGACTTTGGTATTGTTTATGAAAAAAAAACAACAACAACAACAACAACCAAACCAACACAACCCAACAAATAGGAAGAAAAAAAAATTCGAGGCATTCCAACCTCAATTTGTCGAAGCCCCAAACATTAGTCTACAAATAAATATATATATATATATATATTCAAAAAAATTGCAAAAAGTAACGTAACTGCATTGTAGGCCTAATAATTCAAAATAAGAGCTCGTTTGGAAAGTTAGGTTTGGGGTTTTTTTGGTTAAAATAGCCAACAAAAAAAATAAAATAGGCTTTTTAGTCCAATAAAACAAAATATCACATTTAACCTATAATCATTACATTCTTTCTCTCACAGAAAAGTCAAAAAGCCTTTTCCAAACGAGATTTTTTAGCCCCAGACTAAAATAGCCAAAAAACCAACCCACTTCCTAAACGAACCCTTAAATAATTTACCAAAATGATTGTTAATGATTATAACGTTGCTACCGTATCATTCTGGTGAAAATTTGTATAAAATTAATGTGAAATTTTTTTTTCTCATATAATTAACAAGAATCACAAATCTTAAAAATAAAAATAAAAATAAAAATAAAAATAAAAATAAAAAAGAAAAAAGATTCACATATCACAAACCAAAGTTGAAAACCATTATAATCAACTAAAACTCATTAAATAATAATTAACAACATTCTAAAAACACACATAATTGGAAACACACAATAATATAAAGTTCTTTTCTTTTAGGTCTTTCAAGCACATGAAATACCGATAGAAGTGGTGGCGGTGAACTACTCTGAGGTTGACTTTCTTATCACCGCTGCCACTGTCACTGCCACCGACTTAAACTCCAGCGGCGAAATCCCGTCGCCGCTGCCACTCTCTGGCATTTCTGAAATGGTCGAAAGCGGACCCGACCCGTCGAAAAGAGCAAAAAATGGATCTTGCGATCCTGCTTTCGCTTGTTTGGGGCCGAAAATGGATCGAAGAAGTTTATGAAACGACCGAGAAAATTTTGAGGATTTTTTGGAGATGGGTTGTGGTGGTTGTTGTGGCGACGAAAGTGGTGGCGGGTGGTGGTGATCGGATAAGCGAGGCATGGAGAGGGTTCTAGAAGAAATGGCGGAATGAAGTTGGCGTTCAAAGGATTTAAGCTCAAAAGAGTCGTAGAGTGAGCTTCCACAATCCCATACGAGAGAGTTGTTCGGTTTGTGATTGTTTTGGGTTTTTGATTGAAGAACTTTATGATCCATTGTTTGTTTGCTTCTTTGGAAAAAAGAGAGAGATGTAGAGATGGTTATATATCTTTAGAGAGAGAGAGAGGAGCAGTTTCTTGGCTTTATCTGAAAGGTGGGTAAGTTCAAATGCGTTAATTATGACTAAAAACGAGATTTTATTGCCATCGTTATCAAATACAAAATATAATATGACTTTTTATTTATTTTTATAATTGAACCTAATTTGTAAATTTTATAAAAATTTATTTATTTATATGTATGCTTTGTTAAATGAAAAAGGGGTGAAGTGATTAAAAAAAAAGAATGTTTAATTTTTTAGTCTATTTATAAGAGGAGATCATATGAAAATGTAACCTATTCTTTCATTGCTTTGGGTTACTGGTCATAAACTTATTTGATATATGGTTTTTTAGCTAAAAAAAAGTGACTTATTTTATTTTATTATGTTATTTTTAATTTTTTTTTTTTGAAAAAAGTTCTATTAAGACAAAATTAAGTTGATTTTATTTTTTATTTTTATATATTTTAAGTAATTGCAACTACAAACTTTATAAAATGGAAAGTGCTCTTCAAGCAAGTTATGACCAAAAGGTATGATAGATTATGAGTTTTTTTTGACAAATAGGTTAAAAGTTAATTGTTTGAGTTTCTTAAATATTTTTTTAAAAATGTGTAAAAAAAATAAAGAAATGATGTGATTCAAAAAAAAGTTAAAAATCAAAAAGTAGTTTTTAATCTCTTTTCCAAATGGCATCTAGGGGAATTTCAAACATGGAACTTCTATACATATTTTAAAAAAAAAATTAAATAAATCATCTCAATTTTAATTTGCATAGATAATCAATAACAAAATTTATATTAAAATTTACTTACACAGATTAATATATAAAGAAATCGTTGCAAATTAAAATTTACAATAAATTAATATATGAAGATATTATTATAGCAATAACTAAAAATGATAAAAATATGATCTTTTTGTTTTATAGCAAAGTATTGAAGAGAAGTAAAGAAAGTCCTACCTCAAGATATGAGTAAGAAATGAAAAGGTGAAGAGTGTAGGTCCAAGCCAACAAACCATCCTAGCTTCAAGATCCTCCAAGAACCCTTCAAGAACGGCAAGCTCTCTTCACAAAACTCTCTCAAATCTCTATCTCACTAACCATTCAAGAAAAACCCTGCGTCTGAACAACCAAGGCTAATGCTAGGACACCAAGGTCTCTACAATGGAAGAAGAAGAATTTTAAAGGGGGGAAAAACAGGGAGAAGTCTCACGGCTTGCACAGAAAAAAATACGAAAGAAGATGGGACTGCTTCTCTCTTTTTCTTTCTTTGTATTGAGGGAGGACACCAAACAAAATGAATGGGAAGGAGCTCTCTCTGTGGAGAAGTAGATCCAACCCTAGGGAGGCGAGAGGGAGAGAAGTGATGTCTACATCTCATTTAATGCTTCTTTACGTATGTAATGAAATATCACAAAAGAAATGGACACCCATCAATTAATACATATATTTTAAGAAAATGGTAGAAGTTCCAAATTTTCTACTAAATAAATAATTACATGTTTTACATAGGTATGGGGTCCACAAAATTGCGGACCCCACACCTATGTGAAACATTTGATCATTTGTTTGGTAAAAAATTTAGTATCTCTAACATTACCTTATATTTTAATATCTTGAGTCTTGTCTCAGCACAATCAAATAAAGGAAAGAAAGAAATTGAAAAAGAAAGGGGTGAGTGGTCGGCCATTAACCGTAGGAAATGAGAAAGGAAGTTTTCTTTCATTATAATAGGAAGGAAAATGTTTGAAGATTACAATTTTTTTGATTATAATGGTTTAAAATTGTCAAAACAACGTCGTTTTAAGTGCAAAACATGTTAAAACGACGTTATTTTGACAGTTTTGAACCATTGTGGCCATAAAAATTATAGTCCTCTAATATTATTGTAATATGAAATGGATTTGACCAACACAAGAAATAAAGAAAGAAATCAAAATTTTAATATAATAAACTAATCAAGATAAGGTGAAAACAAGACCCTCTTATTTGGTGAAAGGTACAAGTTAATAAATAAAATTCTTTGATGATTAAAAAAGAAGTATAACTTTGATTTTATGGTGTATCATAAATTCATCATTCATAAATCTTACTACAATTTGGTGTCACACACACCACAAATATTTACAATCTTCTTATGATGATTTAAATATATATATATATATATATATATATAAAATCAAGACATGGACAATCAATTGAATCCGATATGAGTAAAGTTCAATAATTTGAAGTAGCTATCTAATTTGAGACTTAAGCAAAAATAAACCAAATAGACCCGAAGTGGCCCCACCATTCATATAATTAGTTACACAAACTCAAATTAAATTAATTATAAATCATTGCTCTTGAATTAAATTTTCATCCATAAACCAAACATGGCCTACATATATATCAAACTATACCCGACAAACTTTATCTCAAGTCATGATCTAACACTCAAAATAAACACAAAATCAAAATTGGATCATAAAAATTCTGTTATGTCACTTAATCAAACACCGATAAGTCCATGATTTTTATAAATTAAATATTCATCCTTTCATTCTAAAAATTTTGCCCAATATACTAGCTTCAAATGGGAACATCATTTTAATTGTTTTTATAAGTTTCTGAATTGTGAAACTATTTTAAAAAGTTTATAGAATTAGAATCTAAATAAAAAGTTAAATTTTTTTTTTCATGGTCATTACAATTTGGGGCTGAAAATGGATCGAAGAAGTTTGTGAAATGACCAAGAAAATTTTGAGGATTTTTTGGAGATGGATTGTGGTGGTTGTTTCGGCAGCGGAAGTGGTGGCGGGTGGTAGTGATCGGATAAACGAGGCATGGAGAGGGTGTTCAAGAAGAAATGGTGGAGTGAAGTTGGCAAGGATTTGAGCTCGAAGTAGTAAACTTCCACAATCCCATACGAGAGAGTTATTGGGTTTGTGATTGTTTTGGGTTTCTGATTGGAAAACTTTTTGATCCATTATTTGTTTGCTTCTTTGGAAAAAAGAGAGAGATGTAGAGATGGTTATATATCCTTAGAGAGAGAGAGAGAGAAGTTTCTTCGCTTTATCTGAAAGGTAAGTAGGTTCAAAAGCGTTAATTATGACTAAAAGCGAGATTTTATTGCCGTTGTTATCAAATACAAAATATAATATGACTTTTTTATTTTATTTTATTATAATTGAACCTAATTTGTAAATTTTATAAAAATTTATTTATTTATATGTATTATGTGTTAAAGAAAAAAGGGGTGAAGTGATTAAAAAAAAAGAATGTTCAATTTTTTAGTCTATTTATAAAATGAAATCATATGAAAATGCAACCTGTTCTTTCATTACTTTGGGTTACTGGTCATAAACTCATTTGATTTATGGGTTTTTAGCTAAAAAAAAGTGACTTATTTTATTTTATTATGTTATTTTTAAAGTTTTATGAGTTTTTTTTTTTTTGAAAAAAGTTCTATTAAGACAAAATTAAGTTGATTTTATTTTTTATTTTTATATATTTTAAGTAATTGCAACTACAAACTTTATAAAATGGAAAGTGCTCTTCAAGCAAGTTATGACCAAAAGGTAGGATTGATTATGAGTTTTTTTTGGCAAGTAGGTTTAAAGTTAATTTTTTGAGTTTCTCAAATATTTTTTTAAAAACGTGTAAAAAAAATAAACAAGTGATGTGATTCAAAAAAAAGTTAAAAATCAAAAAGTAGTTTTTAATCTCTTTTCCAAATGGCATCTAGGGGAATTTCAAACATGGAACTTTATATACATATTTATAAAAAAAAAAAAAATTAAATAAATAATCTCAATTTTAATTTGCATATATAATCAATAACAAAAATTTATATTAAAATTTACTTACACAGGTTAATATAGAAAGAAATCGTTGCAAATTAAAATTTACAATAAATTAATATATGAAGATATTATAGCAATAACTAAAAATGATAAAAATATGATCTTTTTGTCTTTTAGCTAAAATGTGTGTGCATTTTATTTATTTATTTATTTTTTAATTAGATGCCAAACTCACTGCTATGATAATCAGGATTTTTTTTGAATGACCTAAATAAGTGTACTTTTTATTTTTTTATGAAAAAATACGCAGAAAAGTAAAGAGATGATGTGATGAAAAAAAGATGAAAAGATAAAAAGATGGATTATTTTTGGGTTGCCAAACTTGACTTAAATTTTGTTTAAGAAAAAATACTCAAATAATTTTATTTCTTAAAGTACAAAAAGTTAAAATTTTCATCTTTAGTCGACATTTTAAAATTTTATTTTTACTTTTTTTCATTTTTCTAGTCAATGCCAAACTCACTGTTATGATAATCTGGATTTTTTTTGGAATGACCTAAATAAGTGCACTTTTTATTTTTTTATGAAAAGATACGCAGAAAAGTAAAGATGTGATGTAATAAAAAAAAGATAAAAAGATGGATTATTTTTGGGTTGCCAAACTTGACTTAAATTTTGTTTAAGAAAAAATACTCAAATAATTTTATTTCTTAAAGTACAAAAAGTTAAAATTTTCATCTTTAGTAGACATTTTAAAATTTTATTTTTACTTTTTTTCATTTTTCTAGTCAAGTGAAATGTAAAAGTATAGTTTTTGTATGAATTTAAATGATTTTTTTTTTATACTAAAAATCAAAAAAATACTAAAAAAATAAATCTGAAATACTCCCTTGGGCCTTGTTTGGTGCAGTTTATTATAAGTTAAAACTGATAATAAAAAAGTAAAATCCAGCTTTTAGATAATCAACTTATTTAAACTATTTTTACCTAATAAGATATAAGTAAAAATTACACTAGTATAAATTAGTGTGTAGGGGAAAATTAGGATTAGAAATTATGCAGTCGTAATTTTTAACTTTTGGTGAATAGTTATAACTTTTTGAGTAACTTTTTGACTTTTTTTCAACTTGCTAAACTTGACATAAACAATCTAATACAAACTTTTCAATTAAAATAAACCATCATTTAGGATGTAACAAACACTCCTTCGTTGGCTGAAATGAATAGGGCCAAACCCAGCCAAAACCACGGCATTATAAGAACAATAAATTCTCTTAAAGCAGCTTTCATAAGTTTTTTTTTTTATTTATTTTTTATTTTTTATTTTTTTGGTGTAGCTTTCATATGATTCACATAATAATAATAATAAATATTTAATGAGAGAAATGGCTGGTCCACAAGACTTACCTTTGAGTTCAAGTTTATCAAAAACAGTAACACAACACCAGACCACCATTTGCCAAAGGGAAATGGTACAATGTGTGCCTTTAAAAAGGTATATATGACATCTCTTTTATAATTTTTTCATAAAAATTCATAATTTAAATTCAAAATGTTATAATAAAATCTTAAAATGTTGTAATAAAAATCACAAAATGTCATAATGTTATCATTCCTAACTTTAGGGTATACATTATAAATTCACTATTTATAATTTTATTATAAAATATCATAACACACATCACAAACAATTATAACATTCCTCATAAAAAATCATAACTTTTTTATAATGTGCACCATTTAAAAGGGTACACATTGTAAATTTCTCTTTTGCAAAAAGATCATTTAGGCCTTGTTTGTTAATAGATTAAAAAAATTTAAAGTTTAAAATATTACTATAAGTTATCATATTATTTTTTATTTTTTTAAAAAATTAACTAAAATAATTAATTCTCAAACGAACTCTTAAAGTGCAATTAGTCCAAACGATAAATCAAAGGTCTTAATCTATGAGTTCATTTTATTTATTTATTTTTGATATAAGGATGTTGAGAAAAATCAGGTGGGATTTTGAATTTCTTTAAACTTTAGTGACATTCAAGCCTGGCCTTGAGATTTTTGGGGTCTAAAGTCGATAATTAACAAATAAATTTCTGGGGGCCTTTACATTTTTTTTTTCATTGAAAGAAAAAAAAAATAAAAGTAAAGGACAAAAGATTTATGTCAAAATCATAAAAGGTGGTGTTTGGCAAGTGGGTTGGGGCTAAAATAGCCACAAAAGACAAAACAGGCTATTTTAGCCACAACAAACAAAATTTATTTTTGATATAAGGATGTTGAGAAAAATCAGGTGGGATTTTGAATTTCTTTAAACTTTAGTGACATTCAAGCCTGGCCTTGAGATTTTTGGGGTCCAAAGCCGATAATCAACAAATAAATTTCTGGGTGCCTTTACATTTTTTTTTTCATTGAAAGAAAAAAAAAATGAAAGTAAAGGACAAAAGATTTATGTCAAAATCATAAAATATACTTAGCATTACATTACAATAACTAATAAGTATCACTTGATCCTCACTCTTCTTGCATTTTTAAAAGCAAATAAATCAATCATACTTACATAATCTAATTTTTTTTTGCAAAATTCTTTTCAATGAATAACAATGCTAATTATTTTAAATGAGTCTTTCAATTTTTT